ACAGTTAAAAACATTGATTGGAACATAAAATAAAAACAGTCATTAAAAGGATAAAAGAGATATTAAGTAGTTCAAGAATTCTTTAAGAATTCTGAATTGCATAAACTGTCACATAAATTTAATTCAATCCATTCAATTCATTTCATTTTGCAGAGCCCAAAATCGCATAATCACAAATTTGCCTCAGTGGGCTTTACAGTCTGTACACATACTCCTCTGTCCCGAAACCCACACATCGGCACAGGAAAAACTCCCCAAAAAATGAAAAAATCCTTCCAAGAGAGAAAAAAGGGAAGAAACCGTAGGCAGCAGTAAACAGAAAAGTCTTTAATCTGGATTTAAAGGAGCTGAGGGGCTCAGCCGACCTGCAGCTCTCTGGGACTTTGTTCCAGATATCTGGAGCAGAAAAATTGAACTCTGCTTCTTCATGTTTAGTTTTGACTCTAGGAAGAGAAGAGGTCTGAAGAGTAGACCAGTCCCAGACGGTTCATCAAGTATCAGCAGATCAGAAATGTACTTGTGCTTTATAAACCAACAGCACGATTTAAACGTCTATTCTTTGTTTGACAGGACGCCAGCGTAAAGACCTGAGAACTGGAGTGAAGTGATCCACTTTCCTGGTCCCTGACTTTGAATTGTTCATCTTTGTTACCAAAAACAATACTTTTGCCCAGTCCCTGAATTGGATTTTAGTCCTCTGGTAATATAGTTATATAGATTTGTGTGTCATCTGCATAACTATGATTACACACTTTGTTTTCCATAATCTGAGACAATAGGAGCATGTAGATGTTGAACAGAAGGCGCCCCGGTATAACCTTGGGGAACACCACATGTCATTTTCTTCCGATTGACTTTTATTATTATACTCTTATGCTATTATTGTGTTGTACTATATTGAATTGTATTATATTGTACTGAGTGTTTGCATTGTATTGCTATATATATCATATATACTACTGTTGTTGTTGTAGGTCCTCTAACAGTTATACAGTATATGAGTTTAATTGTTCATGAGGCAACAACCTGTTGACCGCTGACATAATTGCATACTACACAAGAACTGTGTGTGTCTTGGTTTGTTTGTGTTGAAGATGTTGGCTGAGTTGTTTCTGATCACTGAGGGCCCCCGAGGCTGTGACCACTGGGTAGTAATTAGCTGGTAGCATAGCGGCTGTATCTCCGGCCATCCCCTGAGGTCTGGACACAAGACACCCATTAGTGTTTCATGAGCTGTTGGTATCGCTGTAGATTGCATCATATCTAATGGATACACACACTAAAACATATTGTTACCTTGTGATAACTTTCTTAACACATAATGACCTCCTAAAAGAGTCTTTAATGTCACATTGTGGCTTCGCTTGAATAGTTGTGACACAGTTTGTGCTGACGAAGCGACTCAACGAGAAGTTTTTTTCCTGTTCTATTGTGAGTGAAAGTTACTTCTTCATGTGGATGTAATAAATTCAGAAGGTGACAGAAAGACGTTACAAAGCAGAGTAAAGTCACCATTTAGCTTGTGGGATGTGAAGATGCACCTCAGCAGAAGGAACGAGAAGCAGCAAACACGGAGAAAGTGACACAATGACTTTCCACATTGAGTTACTTTAGTTAGTTGAATACTTCAGCAGTGGACCACAGTAAACATGAATTAGGGAGAGAAACTATACTTTTGGTTGTTTTCTCAATGTGGTATAAGTACCTATACTTATTAAAACATCAAACATCAGTGCTTCATCGACTCAAACACACTAAACTAGTCAAGTTATAATGATGAAACAAATAAACATTCATTATCACATCAAAGAGAAGAAGCAAACATACATTATCACATGAAAGAATAACATACATGTTCACATGAAAGAGAAGAATAACATACATGTTTCCCCTCACTCCCTGAAGCATTGTGCTGACCAGCTGTCTCCGGTGTTCACTGACATCTTCAACACCTCCCTGGAGACATGCTACGTACCAGCCTGCTTCAAGGCCTCCACCATCATCCCTGTCCCCAAGAAGCCCAGGATCACAGGACTCCATGACTACAGGCCCGTCGCCCTGACCTCTGTTGTCATGAAGTCTTTTGAATGGCTAGTCCTGACCCACCTGAAGTCCCTCACCGACCCCCTCCAGGACACCCTGCAGATCACCTACTGAGCCGAAAAGGCTGCGGACGATGCTGGAAACATGGACCTGCTCTACATCCTGCAGCATCTGGACTCCGCAGGAACCTACGCCAGGATCCTGTTTGTGGACTTCAGCTCTGCCTTCAACACCATCATCCCGTCTCTGCTAAAGGACAAACTCTCCCAGCTGCACCGCCCGACTCCACCTGCAAGTGGATCACAGACTTCCTCTCTGACAGGAAGCAGCACGTGAAGCTGGGGAAACATGTCTCAGCCTCTCGGACCATCAGCACCGGTTCCCCCCAAGGCTGCGTTCTTTCCCCTCTGCTCTTCTCCCTGTACACCAACAGCTGCACCTCCAGCCACCAGTCCGTCAAGCTCCTGAAGTGTGCGGATGACACCACCCTCATTGGACTGATCTCTGGTGGGGACGAGTCGGCCTACAGGTGGGAGTCTGACCATCTGGTGTCGTGGTGCAGTCAGAACAACCTGGAGCTCAACGCTGGAGATGGTTGTGGATTTCAGGAGGAACAGAGCCCCACCCTCCCCCATCACCCTGTGTGACTCCCCCGTCACTATTGTGGATTCCTTCCGTTTCCTGGGCTCCATCATCACCCAGGACCTCAAGTGGGAGCTGAACATCAGCTCCATCACCAAGAAGGCTCAGCAGAGGTTGTTCTTCCTGAGGCAGCTGAAGAAACTCAACCTGCCAAAGACGATGATGGTCCACTTCTACACGGCCATCATGGAGTCCATCCTCTGCTCCTCCATCACCGTCTGGTACGCTGCAGCCACAGCCAAGGACAAGGACAGGCTGCAGCGTGTCCTCCGCTCTGCAGAGAGGGTGATTGGCTGCAATCTGCCGTCCCTGCAGGACTTGTTCGCTTCCAGGTCTCTGAAGCAGCTAAAAAGATGGTAGCCGACCCCTCTCACCCCGGACAAAACCTGTTTGTGCCCCTTCCATCTGGCAGGAGGCTGAGGTCCATCAGGACTAAGACCTCCTGCCACACCAACAGTTTCTTACCGTCGGCAGTCGGGCTCATCAACAGAGCCCGGTCCCCCACTGCCTGACTATAACATTCCACCGGTCACTCCCCCTCATACTGCACACGCCACTTTAACTGCAATTCATCACTTTGTCGTCACTCGTCACTTTGTCACTTATTCGATAGTGCACTTTATGCTTAATATTTTTTAACTTTTTTAATATTTTTAATTTTTAACTTTAACTTTATTCTCTTGTTTTATACTAACCCATAGCCTTATTCTACTAACCCATCGCATTAGCATTTTATTTTATTTTGTTACTTGTGCACTGCTGTCTTGTTGTCTATTGTTGAAAGAGAACATGAAAGAGAAGAAGAAACATACATGGTCAAATCGACGACGACACCTTTGATGGGATTTGGGATGTATATTGGAGAGAACACCGTGTTTATAAATCAGATGTTCCGCGCAGAAATACCAGAAAACCCTCAATCTCCCCAATGGTAGGTTGTTTTTTTTTTAACAAAACGGTGCGAGAGCAGCATATTAGAGTACGTAGCCAGAGAGAATTTGGGGGTTTATATATTGGGGGAGAGGCGGTAAAAAAAAATTTTTAT